GTTAATTTTTTGAAATTAACTTATGGCTCGAACTCTCCTGTTTAAAACCTGTCAGTGACTCCACATGGCCTAAAGCCATTGCCCAAATGGCCTTAAGCCATTTATTGCCTCACTGCTCCGTTTTCTTTTGACCTGTGAACGTTACTCAAAGAGCCAAGAGTTAACTCTCAAAACTTTGTATTTAATATATACATAGTACAGACATCCTAACAAACATTCTTACAAACATTCTTAATATTAATGTTTAACCATAACTTCTAGGTAGCTTTGACTAAATTTAGAAATATATTTAATTACCCCAACTCTTTCTTTCCTTGATTTCTTGTATTATATTTCTATATAGCTGGACCAGACATAAGACTATAATTCGATAAGAAGGGAACCCATTCATTTTCAGTATTGTTAATAAAGAAGCTTATCTAAAAGAAGGAAATCAAAACAAGGTCTGCAAGCCGTAAATTTTAATTCCTATTCTCCTTTCCAAATTATGTTGAGAAAACAGAGAAACAAAAACAACTGCCCTACAGAAAGAACAGCATATATTTCAGTGTACAATTCAGAAGCACCTGCATTAGTCAGAAATGCCATAACAGTAACCTGACCTATTGTTAGAAATCTAGCAAGTACATTTTTCATTGTTCCCCAGTGGGACTTTATGCCAACCAGTATTGATTGTGAGAGTTTCAAACTTCTATTAGATTCTACTGTCACTTAGTTGATAATTATTTCAGCCCAACAGTAAGATGATTTAGAGTTGTGAAAATAAATAGATGGAGGCTATGCAGACTGGGTCAAACTGCCCAATACTTGGGCAAGCCTTGTCTGAGTTCTCATTCTCATTTGATATCAGAGCATGAAATCTTCCCAATATAGATATTTCTGTAAGACTTTGCATTCTTAACTTTTAATTAGTCATGGAAATCATTGCTTTAATTTTTTTAAAAGTATGATATGTTCAGTTACTGTAAGAACTTAATGTAACTCAGTATAGTTCAGAGTGATACCTAGAGTTTGTACAAATGTAGACATAAAGTGATGTGAAGCAGGACCTAAGGTAAATGGGAAAGAGTAAGTAGGCATTGGCAAAAAGGAGCATACACAGGAATAGAAATGGGATGTCACCTGGTTCCAATAAGTACATAGGGTTTTACCTCTTTGAGACAGAGACTAGCAGAGATATTTTGTTTTGCTCCCTCTAACACAGCATTTCTGCTAAGCTCCTATAAACCATCTATTTCTTCCTCAGTTGACAAGTGCATTTACAACTTTCATCAATATAGTGTGTGGTAAAAAGGATGGGCTCTAGAGGCAGGCTGCTTATACTCAAATTCCAACTGTACCACTTGCTAACCATGTGCTGTTGGATAAATCACTTAACTTCTCTGTGCCTTGGTTTTCTCATCTGAAAATTATGGTGGTAATAATGCTATTGATCTCATAAGATTGTGATATTGAATTAATTGCCATGTAAAATGCTTAGAACATTGCCTGCTAATGAGCAGCCATTCAATAAATGCTGTCTATCACTATCCAGCACAGACTGATACAACTAAATATTAATACAAAGACAAAGGCAGGTAGCACCTCAATTATCAATCTCAGATGGCCAGGGCATTCCTGACACAAATGGGAACAACGTCAAATAACTCTTCTTTCTTTCTGTTCTACCTTCTTTCAGGTGTCTGTTTCCTCTTCATGTGAAATTTGTAGTACTCAGTTGTCTCCTAGTTTACCTTATGGTTTTGATGCCTTCAACACTTGGCCTAAGTACAGAGCGTGAAATAAGAAAAAATAAAGTCAGTTATATCTTTTACTTGTAATTTTAAAAGGTCCTGGGTAATGGCTTTCAAATATGACTGCTCCATAATGTGTCAAGATTTTTCTAGAAAAGTTTGGCCAAGGAGCATGGATTTGTCTGCTGTGTTCACTAGCTGTTAACAGATAATTTCTTTTGATTTTTCCATTCTATTTTATTCTAAATCATCTCTTCCTTGTTTCCTGTCACAAGCTAACATCTCATTCTGTTTTCACTAATTTGACATTTTGCAATGCTTACTAGATAAACGTTATTCACAGAATTTGGAAGCTTTTGCCTGATATCCTATAGACTTCAGGAGGAAGGTACTATGGAAAATACTACTGTAGTTATTATTAACAATAGAAATAATAGCACACCACAACTGTGAAAGAAATAGGAGAAGGTGCATCCAAGTGCTTTTGCAGACATTTTAAGGTTCACACAGCAGAAGCTTAGAAATAGATCTCCTCTTGTATTTTGGCCAAACGAAATCTCTTTCTCGATTTATGTTAATTATACCTAAAAACCCAGTCCCCAAGGCCTTGGTCTTTTCATCTCCTCATTTAGAGCTCATTCTTTTTCACTGGCTAGTAATTACCGTCCAGTGTCCTGACCACCCAGCTGTGCTCTGACAATGTTACCGAGTTTTAGCAATCCCATCTTCTGCTGGGGTGAGCACTATTTCCTGCTGCTTAGTGACCGTTAAATCACCCCACAAAGATGCAAATACCTGGCTCCTTTGCAAAAGGAGGTGGCAGTATAAGTCATCTATTTTTGCATGATGCAAGTAAAACTCACACATGAGAAGGAAATGAATTAGATTTTTCTGGATATTTGTTTCTCAAGATTGTATTTAAACGTTTAGATCATATGGCCAGGGAAGGCATCTCTGTAGCTTACCACACTAATGGTTCTACGTAATTTTCCAAATAAGTGCTAAGTCGCTAAAGGAAGAAATTTCATGTTTCTTTAAAAAGTATGAGAGGAAATAAAGCCCCGATACGTGTCACTTTAATAATCATTTAAAGTAGAGTCTGGAGTTCTGTTTTTTAATTGATACCTTCTCTTCATTCTACCGTTTGCAACTTGTGCAAAAGAAGATGGTCATTACTTTTGGAGCCAACAAATCACTAACTTTCAGCATGAACTATTGACTCCAGGTAAAGCAGCCCCCAAAGTGTGATTTTTAATCACATATAAGTAAGCCTTCATAACCTTACTTCATTTTATCGTATCTTTCTCATCTTCAGATTCTCCCCAAAAGAAAGTTAGTTTTCACATGATTCAGAATTTAGACACGTTATTTAGCTCATAAAGAGGAAGATATGAATGACTAAAAATAAAGCGTAGGTATCCACATTTTGAGATGGGTTCATGGAGCCACTTATCATAAAATAATGTTTTGGCACTGGTAAATATTACCATTTTTGAAACACTTGATGAGAAATTTGGGGTATAAAAATCTGTTAAAGGATTCTATCCTTTAAAGAAAATTGCAGAAGGATCAGGTTACTCCTAGGTAAAGCTTTCTCTGTTCGATGGTTCTGGAAGCCTTGTCTTTAATATGTTTACATTAATTATAGATATCAAAAGTAATTACACAGGGGCAAAAAAGTGAAATATCCATTTATCTGAAGAATGAAAGTTACATTAAGTGGTAGTAATTTACTGTTATTTTCCAAGAAATTGTTCAGCTATTTTCAATTTATATAAGTTATAGTCTTGATGGAAAAAGATTATTTCAGCAACTACTTAGGTCAAATGGGGTTTTTAGCTTTTTAGAGCTGCATTGTCCAGTATAGTACCAGTAGCTGTACATGACTATTAAGCACTTGAAATGTGACCAGTCTGAATGGCAATTTGCTATCAGTGTAAAATAGACAACTGTATTTCAAAGACTTAATACCAAAGAAATGTAAAATATCTTATTAATAATTTCTATATTGATATCATCTTAAAATAATTATTTAGATACAATGGGTTAAATAAAATGTATTATAATTTCATGTGTTTCTCCACATATGCTCAAGGAAAAATTAAAATTTTAAATTGCACATCTAACTCAGTATATTTCTATTAAATTATTCTGCTTTGGAGAATTAAACATTGTTGACAACAGAATCACAGGAGAAAGAAGAGAATAGAATGAAGAGGACAATATGGGTTTGTGTCCAAATGCATCCCTTTATTCTGGTATCTGAACAATATAGAGAGCTACAAATAGGAGAAAAAAAAGCAAAACAAAACAAAGAATTTTCATGAGGAACTTTGAGGATATAATCATCTCTGCTTGGGGGCCACTCCCATAGAATACAAAATAAATGAACCTGAAGAGGTTTTTATTTTTCTCGCTGCGCATTAGGCCATTAAACATCTTGCGCACCTTCTGTGGCTTCTTTCAGATATTCTTCCACGCTGCAACTAGGGGAGGCTATTGAATGTGATGGTCCCCTCAGAAGCCTCGAGGAAGATGAACAATGGTAATCAGATATCCTAAAGTTATCTTTAGGGCACTGTGTCACAGGCAAAATAGCAGCAATGCCTGGTGGAAGCTGACTTTGTGCATACACATGAGAGCCCACAGAAGACTTCAAACTTCATGGTGGGCTGCAGAAACAATTTGGGAAGATAGTATGAAGAGCCAAATTCCTATTGCCATTATGTCACTCCATAGGTACCTATGAACTAGGGAAACTTGGAAAAAATCAGAGTCCCCAGATTTACTCTTCAGTGGTCAAAGTAAGAAGGAATATTGTTATTTGAATTTTAATCACTGTCTTCTGTTTTCTTTCAAACAATAATTTTTAAATTATCATTAGGTTTTTTTTTTTTTTTGAGCTACTAGCTTCTATTTTAAAATAAAACATTACTTTTGGATAACTTATTTGTTTTCAACAATTGAAACTTTATTTTCGTATACACTATTTGGGAAAATTCACTTCTCTCTGTGGGTTTATTTTGTTCCATTTGTTCTCCAGTGCTGGGCCTGGTTAGGAAACTTTTCTTTGACCTTTTTGGACATTTATTTCTCTCAGCTCCTCCTACAATTATTTAAGGCCCAATGCTTGTTATAAGTTTCTAATTGATGCAGGTAGTTGAATGAAAATCACCCCTTGCCACTCCCCCAATTCGCTTTCTGAATTGGAGAGGATAGCTGGAGGTGTTGTCCCTGTCTGTGGATGTGGTGGGGAGGAGTCAGAAAGTGGAAACATGGACATATTTTTGTTAGAGCTCTAAATCTAGTGATACATCATTGATTTTATCTCTGCCAGGAAATAAAACCTTCAGCTGCAGCTAAGAATTTGGAGGTTACTGAAGGAGGTTACTTTTTCAAGAGCAGAAGTAAGGATTCCACTGAATTTGCTCACCAAAGATAAGTCAGCAAAGAAAACTTACTGAAGAATACAGGTTGTCTACTGTGTTTCTCTTATTTTTTGGAGGTTATTTGATCATGTTTATTTGAAAATTGACCCCTGTATGACAGTCCATTCTGTTGAGTTTATTGTTAAAAGAGCAGGAATGATTAATGACTATAGTGAAATTATGGATTCCTATTGTTACTAGACTAATATTGTAAGAACCAGCTAAATCTTATAATGTATGATACATTTATGTGTGGCATTCTTTGGTGTAGAAATGATTGTTTAAATGCTGATGCTATGTAGTTTACCTTCTGCCTAAATCAACATCAGTGCTAAAAATATGTATAAGTAAGGTGAATATTTTGAATTTATTTAAGGCCCTTCTCCATAAAAGAAGAATAATTTAAATATTTTTTGTAGAACTATGAGAAAAGCTGACTAATTTGCATAAACTGAGGAGCACAATTGGAAATACAGCAAAATTGTTTAATTATTTTTAAGTGAATGCAAGTTTATTAAAAAAGTAAAGGATCTCTAAAAGAATGGCTACTCCATAGGCAGAGCAACAAAAATTACTGAATTTTTAAGTGAATATAATCATATTGCTTTGACTTATTGTCATCTATTTGTAAGAAATAGCTATTCCACAATCTTCTTAATGTTTAAATATTTTGTAATAGGCATTAATATTATATATTTTTATATGTTATTCATATATATTAGTAATAATAACTAATAAATATATATTTCTTATTATGTACCCGACATTGGAGTAAGTATCGAGCCTGAGGTGAGTAACATTATTACCTGATTTAACAAATGAGGAAACTAAAGTCCTTAAAAATGGTGGCTTTTGTTGACATATGTTGTTTTGAATGCTCTCCTTCCTGTTCCCCATCATTTGGCAAGAGTTCCTTGGGAAATGACTCCTCCACTGAATGCAATCAAGTTAAAACTGTCAAGCTATATATTTTTCTGCCTTCTCTAAGAATAAATGACGGTCAAGTGTTCTTTCTTCCAGGAACATAAATCTTAAGCAGACTTACATAAGAAAGGGAAGTGGTTGAATCTGAGGTATTTCCATGGTGGTCTTTGAGGAAAGCCTTTCATGAGTTCCCAGTCCATATCCTTCAAAGGGTTTCTTGGATATGCTTTATTTATGCCTAATTTTCCAGCTTCTCTTTAGTGTTGCATGCTCTAATATTTTATTCTCTCTCTTGTTTTTTGCTTCACTTAGTTAGAATTTCTTTCATCCAATGAAGAATTCTAATGAGAAACATTAATCTGTAATTTTGAATATTCCAGAATAATCGTGGTATAAACATTACATCCTGCTGTTTCCCTAATTACTTGAAATCTGGATATTCCAATTTCGACAACGAGATCTTAAAATTGTAATTCCCATGTCATGTTATACATAAAGTACCAGGCAATCACTGTACTTTGTTAGCCTACTTGCCCCCTTTGAATTATTATGTTGGAAAATGTGGCCACTTTGAGTACATTACCTTTGAATCATCAGTAGGTGGAGATTAATTATGTTCTTCCAACTTATTGGGCTTTGTGACCTTTACTTATTTATTCATTTATTTGTTAAATATCCTTAATGATTTCAACTCTAAAATTCTGTTCCTGTGACCTGTACTGCAGTCTTTCCCTTTATATGCAAAGATTCTGCAATCATTGGATATTTTTGCATTAGATTTTTAAATTGAGATGCAATTCACATACCTTTGCATAATGTTTATTACTTTAAAAATGTACAATTCAGTGTTTTTAGTAGAGTATATTCACAATGTTCTGCAACCATCATAACTATCTAATTCCAGAATATTTTAATAACTTAAAAAAAAAATACCCTATTCCCATTGACAGCCACCTTCCATTCTCTTTTTCCCCCAGCCTCTGGAAATCAGTAATTTATTTTCAATCCAGTTTCACTGTTTAAATATCTTAACAGTATTCCTTTTTTATAAGACAATTGTTCTTTTATTTCTTCAACTTATATTAAATGCTTAGGCATTCTCTACTTTTATCCACTGACAAAAAAATCAAGACATGTTTTCCTAATAGCAATTGAAAGAGAGAAAATAACTACAAAACATTTAATCCAATCCCATATTATTTTCAGACTTCCTTAATTCTCCTTTTAAAATTATTAATTTATTTCTGAGCTTGAGAAATTGTATAACATTATGATTAAATTTTATCTGATTCTAGGCAAATGAAAAATGACAACAGATTGAAAGGATATGAAAAGTCATATTCAATAACCTCCCATATAGTCATTTGGGTTTTTTCCAGCTTCCAATCCCACACTTCCCTGACCTAAAATAGATAAGGAAAGTCTCATCTTTAATTAAACAACTTGAAGTAATTTGGATTTTTTTTGAATATACACTATTTCTCATGATCTTTTTAAGGCCACATCTGAAATAAAAATATTTTATTGCAAGCTTTGGATAAATATGCAGTTAAGAAGTATGACATAATATGTCCATTTACCCATATATACTTATCAAGTAATAATTATTGTTTTCCCCTGTCTATTCTACAAAAGATTTTAAGTAGCTGTGTTTTTAAATTTAGTAATTTTTAACTTGAATCTCCACTGTTCTCAGACAGCATATCAGCTCCTGCTTTCCAAACAAACTTCGTAGGTCTTGGGAAGAAGAAAGCCTCATGACTAAGAACTCTCTCTTGAATCAGACAGCTTGAATTCAAATCCTACCTCTATTCTTATTAGTCATATGAACACAGGTAAGTCATTTAACTTCTTTGTGTCTCAGTTTTCTTATATATAAAATGGGAATTATATAACTTACCTAGAAAATTTGTTATCAGTGTATGAATTAATAAGAGAAGAGTAAAGTGCTTAAAATTGTGAGCAATATATTCCAAGGGTTCACTGGCTATCCTTCCTTACCTCACGAACTCAATTATTGAGACAGCAGCGTTTAATTAAAATACATTTAAACCGACCCCACACCAAAAGTTAATGAAAGAAGGCTACATCATTAATATTGTGATTGCAATAATAGCTCTAAATTGTTGTACAGCTGTTCGGTGCTGAGCATGTTGATATGTTCTTTCCTTGTTTTCTTTTGATTTCCCAACAACCCTGTAAGTTGAGTAGTATTTTCATTTTACCAATGAATAAGCTATCTTTCCGACTGGCTCAGTAACCTGCACATGGCTTGGACATTCTTCACATTACTTGTTTTCCAAAAATTCCCCTGTTGAAGTGAATCCTAGTGACTTCAAGAATTCCAAAAGCCCAAATAAATAAACTTTCTGGTGTTTCTAAAGTCTCATTCTTAATGTGATCTCAGATTTTGGTCCTATGATTTGGTCTTGTCATATCTTCTTTTTAGCAAAATTTAGGAGACCACTGTAGGACCACGTGTAGCAAGCATGTTAAAACCAGAAAAACAATCATATAAAATTCACTTCAGGAAGCAAGAACTTATGTTTTTAAAAATTTGTCACAGGGCCAATGTTAGGGTTCTTAAGGTCTAAACTAAAGGTATCTCATTCAAAATTTTAATTCTATATTTATTTCTAAAAATGGAGAAGGTAATGAAGAATGAACAAGAAGCAAAACAGGTCCTGCAGGTTGTGCTCACCATAGTGAGAGTCATTCTTTGAAACTCCCACAGGAGAACCATATCCATTCAGCTCACTTTGGACCACCTGTGGAGCCTCATAACCAGGGAATAGGGAATCTCCTGAGGTCCAAATTTGTGTGCCAGGTAATAAACTCCCCAGGATAAGCATCATACATCATCCTAAAGTAGCAGTTTTACCAACTGTAAGCAATTTAGAACACTATCTTTATATTAAGATATATTAATGTCTTAAAGGAGCGTGTGTATTGAATCACTTTAAAAAATACAACATCAGGGTCCTGTCGGAAAGAGCTATTATACTCTGTATTAGTCTGTTCTCATGTTGCTAATAAAGCTACATCTGAGACTGGGTAATTTATAAAGGAAAGAGGTTTAATTGACTCACAGTTCCACATGGCTGGGGAGGCCTCACAATCATGGCACAAGGCAAAGGAGGAGCAAAGTCACGTCTTACATGGCAGCAGTCAAAAGAGAGCTTGTGCAAGGGAACTCCCATTTATAAAACCATCAGGTCTCGTGAGACTTATTCACTACCAAAGCACAGTATAGGGGAAACTGCCCTCATGATCCAATTATCTCCACATGACCCTATGTGGAGACTATGACATGTGGGGATTTTTACAACTCAAGGTGAGATTTGAGTGGGGACACAGTCAAACTATATCATACTCTGAAGTATTTAATCAAAAAATTAATGAAGATACTGTTTATAGAAATGGGTATAGAACAAGGGATGGTGAAACACCCAGGAACTGTAAATAGTGGGGAAGTCATTGCCAAATTCAGAGGGATTATTTCTCACTCATATTTACATTAGTGTCTAGCAGAGTTACCATCACATGATTGCTATTGTGATCATCATTATAATTGCTGTCATTTAATAAATGCTTCCCATATCCTGGCCACTAAGCTAAACTCTACACATATCATTTAAAATGTTCTTAGCCACTTTGTGAATTGGGAACTATTTTTCTTTTTTTTAGGTTCATTTTTAAATTTTTATTCTTAAGGATTTTTGTTTTCTTTAATTTTATAATACGTAAAATATTTCCATTGTCCCCAAATTAAGTGAAGCTATATTTTGAGAAAGCTAGCTTTTCAGTTTTCAATTTTTTTTTTTTGAGATGAAGTCTTGCCCTGTCACCCAGGCTGGATTGCAGTGGTACAGTCGATCTGGGCTCACTGCAAACTCCGCCTCCGGGCTCACGCCATTCTCCTGCCTCAGCCTTCCAAGTAGCTGGGACTATGGATGCCCGCCACCACGCCTGGCTAATTTATTTTTTTGGTATTTTTAATAGAGACGGTTTCACCATGTTAGCCAGGATGGTCTTGATCTCCTGACCTTGTGATCCATCCGCCTTGGCTCCCAAAGTGCTGGGATTACAGGCTCAATTTTTACTTTTTATTTTTAAATTTTTATTGTTTTTTATTATACTTTAAGTTCTAGGGTACATGTGCACAACGTGTAGGTTTGTTACATATGTATACATGTGCCATGTTGGTGTGCTGCACCCATTAACTTGTCATTTACATTTGGTATATCTCCTAATGCTATCCCTCCCCTCTCTCCCCACCCCACAAGAGACCCTGGTGTGTGATGTTCCCCTTCCTGTGAATTGGGAATTATTGACTATATTTTATATAAGATGAACAATAAAACACAAGAATCAACTAACAGGTAGAAGGTCATATAGGTAACCTGAAACAGAATTAAAAATCAAGCTTCACTGACTCAGAGGTCTGCACTATCCAAGTTATCAAAGTAAAATCCCATTTTAGACGTCAAATAAATGATTTCTACTGTATTTACTGTTACATTTTTACTATTCCAAAGACCAGTAGTTTGACATCTAAACCCAGGTAATTGTTAATAATATGTAGCTCTGTCATTTCACTTATTGATTGTGAAAACACTGTTTATGTTTTGTCTCCCAACCAGAGCACAGACTCATCAGAAGCAGATACCATGTGTTATACTGTTATGTATCTCTCAGAGACTCCAGCACTTTGAAAGGACTAGGCCTTGCTTATTGATACGAATATTTTTTTCTAGCCATGTCCCAAAGTTCTCAGCATAGCTACAATCCTGCTTTTCACAGGATTTTCATTAAAATTAGGTTCTAAAGCATTACTTCCCTAATGTGTGACGCAACTTATGTTTAGTTTTCAAATCAAAATTAGCTTTGTTTTTCCACTGTCTTTATCATTGAAGATATTGAACTTGGGATTTCCAAAACTATAATTAGCAATTATTTTTACATATCTTTTATATACACAACTTTTACAATAGCTGGCATAATCATGTAGATTCATAGGAAATGTTTCTGAACTGGTAAATAAAAATGAAAGAAGAAATCTTTACTGCTTGCTGACCCGTGTGACTAACCTTGAAATCAGAGAGGCAGATTCATTTAAAACAAACTTGCAAACTGTTAAGCAAAGTACTGAATCTCTGTGACTTGACCAAAAGTAATTCAAACTTGACTATTCTAGGCTCCCTTCTATTGCTGTATCTACCCATGCATCAAAGACTCCAGTTGCAAAGGATGGTCAAGGAATCTGCTGTGCCTTTTGAGTCTCTCCGTTTTATATTGCCAAATTTATCTTCCTTTAATACTTCACTTCTCATAAGACACTAAGATAAACAAGGATGCAACTCACTTTTATTTCAAAATAGAACCTAGTGGTTAAAAGTACTTGTTCTGAAAACAACTCTATTTTTCTAGTTCTAACATGTCTCCAACTAGTTATCTCACCTTGAGCTTGGCACATAATCACTCCATCTTACTTTTGCATCTGTGACACAAGAAAAATACCACCCACCTCAACACAGATCTTATGAAGATTAAAATAAGATTATGAAAGTAAGATGCTCAGCACAATGTCTAACCTAAAATAAATGCTCAGCAAGTAGGAACTACTATAATTATTATCCAGATCAAATATTTTCTCCTCTATGAAGCTTTCTTATTCTTTCCCAGCTAGAATTACTTACTTTCTTCCTTGCTTTCTATACCACACTTTAGTCACCACCATGCTGGCACTTGTCTCACTGCATTATAATTATTTATGTGCCTGTGTTCCATAACCAGAATTTGGGACTTAAGCTTCTTTATACCACCAGCATAATTGTTTCATGTGTGCTCATTAGGTAATGGAATAAAATGGACGAATGAATGAATGAATGGGACTCTAGTACTAAATGCTCTTAAAGATGTAATTATTCTAAAGTGATCAAATTGCTCGAACATGAGTAGTTCAGATAATGAGAGACTGTCATAGAATTACTTGATAAAATCTAGTCAATAAAATGACTTGATAATATAACCTTTATGATTTCTTTAAACAATCATTCACTTCTTTCTGAAGTTGAGAAGAGGAGATTCCTTCTCCCATCTTTATATTTCAACAATGATAAGAAAACAAATTGATCTCTGGGATCAGTGCCCAATACCATTAGTGGTATGCATCTTACAATTCTTAATTAATTTGTGGCATACACATACTAGTCTCCACAGCCAGCTTCATCTGCATACAGCAGCATAATCACGTTTTGCTTATACTAAAGACTTTTTATGAGTCATAAGTCTTCTCCAGGGGGTGTGGTTATCATCTGGTAATCACACCCTTGGGAGGTTAAAAACACTTATCTTTGGATCATGACTTGCAATGCCCCAGGGGTGTGATTATCTCAGGCAACTCACACTTTCTGTCATGCCTAATTGCTTAATTATTATAGCTGTGAGTTCACACCACCATACAGGAACTCAAGTTGTGTCAGCATTTCCACTATAAATTCCTTTTCCGAGAGTCTATAACTCAGCCATAAAAAAAAAAAAAGAAAAGAAAAGAAAAGAAAAGAAAACCTGTGGTTTGTTGAAGCACTGCAGCAAGGGTCGTATTCCAGGAAACATTTCTGCAGTAGATGAATTGTATCTTAAAAATTGGGTCCTGGTCCTCCTAGTTAGGTCACCAAAGAAATAAATAATAATTAAATGTCTCTATATATTTTTCTGTATGGCTGGGAAAATAATGTAAATCCTAAAGACATAAATATTAATTTTTAAATTTAAACAAGAATAGCTCATACAATTTCCAGTTTTTTGGAAATACATGTATTTATAAAATATTATATAAGTAGAATGAATTAAACCATAGTTAGAGAACATTGTCATATGCAGTCATGTACTACACAACATTTCAGTCAAAGGACAGTATGTGGCAGTGGTCACATAAGATTATAATGGAGCTGAAAAATTCCTATTGTTTAATGACATCATGGCTGTCATAGCCATCATGGCAGTCATGACCATCTGAATGTTGTAGTGCAGTGTGTTACTCATGTGTTTGTGGTGATGCTGATGTAAACAAGTATCTGCACTGCCAGTTGTATAAAAGTGGAGCATATACAATTATGTACATAGAATTATGCACACACAATTATGTACAACACACAATATTTTATAATGACAATAAACAATTATGTTACTGGTTTATGTATTCACTGTACTATACTTTTCATTATTTTAGAGTATACTCTTTCTACTTATATATTTTAAAAAAAGTTAACTGTAAAACAACTTCTAGCAGGTCCTTCAGGACATATTCCAGAAGAAAGCATTGTTATCCTAGGAGATGATGGTTCCATGCGTGTTATTGCCCCTGAAGACTTTCCAGTGGGTCAAGATGTGGAGGTAAAAGACGGTGATATTGATGATTCTGACCCTGTGTACGCCAAGGTAATGTGTATGTTTGTGTCTTAGTTTTTAATAAAAACAGTTTAAAAAGTTTAAAAAAATAAATTTAAAAATTAGAAAAAAAGCTTATAAAATAAGGATATAAAGAAAAAATATTTTTGTACAGTTATACAATGTGTGTTTTAAGCAGAGTTATTACCAAAGTGTCAAAGAGTTAAAAAATTTAAAAGTTTATAGCATAAAAAAGTTATAGTAAGCTAAGGTTAATTTATTATTGAAGAAAGGAAAATTTATAAATTTAGTGTAGCCTAAGTGTACAGTGCTTACAGAGTCTACAGTAGTGCACAGTAATGACCTATGACCTAGACCTTCACGTTACTCACTGATTAACCTAGAGCAACTTCCATTCCTTCAAGCTTCATTTAATTTTGAGTGCTTTATATAGGTGTACCATTTTTATCTTTTATACAGTATTTTTACTATCCATGTTCCATGTTTAGATATGTTTAGATACACAAATATTTACCATTGTGTTACAGTTACCTGCAGTATTCAGAACAGTAACATGCTGTATAGGTTTATAGCCTAGGAGCAATAGACTATACCATATAGCCTATGTTTGTAGTAGGCTAGACCATCTAGGTTTTGTAAATACACTCTATGATATTGGCACAATGACAAAATTGCTTAATGATGCATTTCTCAGAACATAATCCCATTGTTAAGTGATGCATCACTGTATATGTAAATTCTAAACCTCAGCCAAATATTTTCTTAGCTCATATACTGTTTATTATCTAGAGGATTGAGTAAAGAGCACAAAACTAGATAATGGGAAACAAAATGTAGCCCAAACACTGTGTAGTTGTATATGACCAGGTGCCTTAGACTGATGAATGTCTCAAAGCCTGGAAGAGGCGTACTTAGGTAGATCAATTCACAAGAGCCCCCAGATTATAAACTACTCAACTAATGCACTAATATAAGAGGTATATTTACCCTGGTAGCTGTAATTCATCCATGGTAGCACCATCACAACAACAGCATTTCTGAGATGCTAATAAAATGTTTTGCTATAAGTATGGAATCAGATCAAATAAAATGAGAATGTTGAGTGATATTTCATACAGATTGTGCTGACAGCTAAATGCTCTTGTTTTTTGCACTGGGGGATACCCCTCGTCTGTTAACTCAACAGTCACTAGAATTTCCAGAATTTGACCTTCAATTTTGTTATGCTACAGCCAGTGTGACTCAATGTATGCATTTGAAAAACATATGTCTTGGATTGAAATCTCCCAAGAAATTAAAAGAAAATAAGTTATTACTAATTCCTTAATTCTTCACTCATCCTTTCAGTTTATTTTTGTAAGTTTCTTGGTCATCTTTTTCTTTCAAGAGGTGCTGCAATTTCTTCATTAAATGGCACAGAGTTGATGAACACCTGACCCTCCAACAGAGACCATCTTTGCCAGACTATTACTTTTTGTATCAATCCTGTCTTAATCTATATTTTTTCTTCCAAAAAACCCCTGCATACTGTTTTATATAATTTAGAACAAAATACAAATATCGTATTTTCTTATAAACAAAACTAAAATATCTCTGGATAGGAAAAGTATGTGTCCACTTTTCCTCACACAAAATGAAAATGGTTCTCCTCATGTGTAATCAGACCATCTCACATTGTTGTATCCAAGATCAATACATGCAAGTGCATTTCATGATTTTTCTTAAAAAGTTAAAATGTTGAATCCTATCTTACTTTTCTTAACACATAAACATATGCTCCAAATGTTTTGTTTTGTTTTGTTTTTCTGATAATAAGGCACTAAGTAGTACATCGGGGAAATAGAAGGAAAAGAAAAATCAAAATAGAAATGGAAAACTTTTTTCTTTTTTATTATTTGAAATATAAATTTTGCTATAACTCCTACTTGGAAAAGTGTCTAATCGCTTTACAGGTACATATGTTGGCAGCACCCACTACACGGTTATTAGTGATAAGGTAACAGCAGATGAAAACACAAAATGAAAACATTTTGTGACTATGGAGATCAAGATGGTTTCTTACAAGACGCAAGAGTAACAGTTGCTATGTTAGTCAATATAGAAGCCAAGATGTATATGTGTTTATGTTAATGTTTTATGTTGTGTTACAAAACAAAAAGAAAAAATAGATTCACCGGTATTTGAAGATGATTTGGAAATATACAAATGAAAAAAACGAGGTATTGAGAGGAAAAATATGTGACAGAATATTACACAACTATTCTGAAGCAAAAAATTATGACTTTATCTTGTTCGGTATTCTTATTTATGCACAAAAACATATCGAGTGTTGATGGTAGACTTTTTTTAGGTTAAGTGACAAGGAAAAATAGGTCATTCTACTCTGTGACACTTTTAACAGGGGGAGAGACTTTCTAATAATATGTGGTTAAACATAAAATATAAAGTAGCCAGGATTTTTTAAATACAGAGAATTTATTTTTTAACCTTTTGGGAGGTCTGGAGGTCTGGCAAAAATAAATATTTATATATGGATACACACAAAATTTAGCATGTAATTTCAGAGGGCTCATAGATTCTTTAGCACTCATGCAGAGCCACAAGTTAAAAACTTCAACTACACAGAGAAAGCATACAATATATAGTTTTTACTGATGACTAAGGTAGGCAAAATCTCTCCCCCCTGCTCCCCCACAAAGTGGTTCAGGAAGATAGTACTTACCTGAGTTTTGATAAATGTATACAGCTATTAAACTGCAACCACAAACATGATCTTGGACATCTTCATCACTCCAAAAAGTTTCTTCATTCCCCTTTGCGAGCAATTTCTACCCCGCCACCAGCCCTAGATAACCCAAGACCTACTTTCTGTTCTAGTTAATTAGATTTGGCTTTGTCTAGAGTTTCATATAAATGAATTCATACAGTTTGTACTCTTCTCTGTCAGCTTCTTTTGCTCACCATAATGTTTTTGAGATTCATCCATGTTGTTGTATATAACAGTAGTTTGCTCTTTTTGTTGATAGTAGTCCAATTTATGGATATACTATTGATGGATAATTGTGTTACTTTCAATTTTGGGCTATAACGAACAAACCTGCTATGAACATTTGTGTGTAAGTTTTTGTGTAAACAGATGTCTTCATTTTCTTGGGTAAAGATCCAGGATTACAATTGTTAGGTCATATGATAAAAGTAGATTTAACTTTAGGAGAAACTGCCAAAATGTTTTCCATAGTGGCTGTGCCATTTTACATTCCCACCAGCAATGTATGATAATTCCAGTTACTCCACATCCATGCCAATACTTGCTATTGCCAGTCTGTAAAATTCTAATGGCCAAAATTAAAAAGGAAAGGGGACGTATACTGGCATCTCATTGTAGTTTAACTTTGTATTTCCTTGATTGCTAATGACGTTGAATGTCTTTTTATATGCTTATTGGCCATTTGAATATTTATTTTTCATGATGTGTCTGTTCAAATATTTTATTCATTTTAAAATTGGATTGTATGTCTTATTTTTGAGATTTTAGAGTTCTTTATTCTGGGAAAGGATCCTTGGGAGATATCTATATCTATATCTATCTATATCTATCTGTATCTATCTATATAAAATTTTATTCCAATTTGAGACTTGCCTTTTCATATTGCCAATGATAAATTTTGAAGAGCAGTTTTTTGTTTTGTTTTATCAATTCATAAATTAGTCTAAATATTATTATTTTTCTTTATTTTACATGCATTTTGTGTCCGTCCAATAAATTTTAGCTAACTCAAGGTCAGACAGATTTCCCCCTTTGAAAGAGAGAGAGAGAGAGAGAGAGAGAGAGGTAGAGAGAGAGAGGGAGAGGAAGAAAGAGAGAGGGAAGTTAAGGGTTGAAATTCATTTTTCGCCTTACAGATATCCAAAAATGTTCCAGATCAATTTGTTGAAAAGACAGTCATTTCCCCATTGAGTTGACTTTACTCCTTTAGCAGAAGTCAATTGACAAAATATTCATGGATCTATACTGGCAGACTCTTGATTGTCTGCCATTAATCTGTTTGCCTGAACTTACATAAATATTATACATTTTAGTATACTTTTATCTTGATAGTAAATTTTGAAGTCTGCTAGTACATTCCTGAACTATGTTCTTTTTCAAAATTATTTGAATTTCCGTATGAACTTTAGAATTAACTCAATACTTTCTTAAAAAATGCTTTGTAGAGTTTTCATTGGAATTGCATTGAATCTGTAGATAAATGTGGAATTTTGTTGAATTCATGGAATTGAATGAAATTGTATTGAATCTGTAGATAAACGTGAATAGAATTGACATCTGACCAATAATAGTCTTCCAATTAATGGAGCGCATATATTTCACCATGTACTTAGGTCTTAAGTTTCTCCAGGATTGTTTTATAGCTTGCAGTGTATAGATCTTTCAAATGTTTTATTAAATCTATTCCTCAGTGTTGCTTATTTTAAAAATGCTATTGTAAATAGTATTAAAGTTCCATCTCCATTTTCAATTGTTTGATACTAGTGTATAGAAATAGCATTTGATTTTTGTATACTGATTTATCATCCTGTAACTTTGCTTTGCTAAACTCAGGTGCTAGGTCTAGTAACTTTTGGTTTATGCTTTTTTGTACTTTTTACATATAGAATCAAGTCATCTGTGAGTAAGTATATTTCATTTGTTTCTGTCTGCTTTTTATTTATTTTTCTTGCTTTAGTGTAGTAGCTGGGAAGTTGCATAAAATATTTAAAGGAAGTAGTGGAAGGGGACATCTTTAGTGTTTCCTTGACTTTTCAGGTAGGATATTCTGTATTTTACCATTAAGTATGATATTAACTCCAGAACATATTTCACTAATGTCCTTTATTAGCTTGAGGCTATTCCCTTTTTTCATAGTCTGCTGAGATTTTTCCGTCAAGAGGCTGAATTTTTCAAATGCCTTTTCTGCATCTATTGAAGACATACATGTCTCTCCTTATTCATTTACTATGATTAATTATGCTGATTAATTTTGAATATTAAA